CAGGGCAATTTTTTTGCTTACTGCTTTCGTTTGCATTGCACCAAGTGAGCCCTGGCGAAATATGCGCAACGGGATACCAAAATCATGAGAGTGGAGGGAGGCGATTTTGCGGGTTGCAACTTTCCGTGGTGACTAGAAGAAGCCCATTGCCTTTTGCTTGTGGCCAACATCTTACATACTCAAACTATGGCAGGGGCGGTTTGCATCCGTACTCAACCCCAAATTCTCAACACCGATTGGTTCTCGCTTTTCATTCACACTTTCCACCCTAATCACACGTTCGAGATGTGACAAAAACAGAACGTGAATACCGAACGGAAATACAAACGATTGTGTCGAGGTGTTGAGGTGAATGCGTAACCCTTTACACGCGGAAGCGCCCTAACATGGGTTACCCTAAATATACGCGCCCTTGCGTCAGTGCAAGACTTGGAATGTAGGCAAAAGGGGAAGGCATCGACCCTAAACACTGGATGGCTTCCCGTGTATAGGGTTGATTCTCCTAAAAGTGAAACCAGGTTACCTAAGGGTTTTATTTTATTCGTTGTTTAGTTTTAAGGGGTATATGCGGGTGAAGTGTTAGTGGCGGCTTTGTTTCATATTTGTGTCTGTAACCAAATAGACCAGTAACTTACGTACTTTATCGAGAAATTATCGGTTGATTACAGATGCAAAACGCTCCGGGCATAAATTGAGTATGTATGATGTTGGCCGCTTTTGCTTGTGCTGGTATGATTGCATGCGACCATGGTGAAATCGAACATGCTAACAATGGCCCTGTTCGATATCAAATAGCTGCGGACCAGGCAACGATATGGTTTTTGAAGGTGTCGCACAAAAAAGGACAAAATGCAAGGGAAAAATGCACGGGCAATATAATTATTGGTGCTGGGTCATTGCCGACTACGAAGATGGCGGCAAGAAGTGTAATACCTGAACCTCAACGGTCGATTGAAGTGGAACGGGTTTTCACGGTCAGCGTCCGGAAAATGTTCCGCAACCAAAAAAATCAGTTGATTTTTTTACCGCGTGGTTCATTTCGGTGACAACTCAGGTGATGTGTGTCGTAGGGAGTTGGCATGTCAGCAACCCTTTTTTTTACCCTTCCGTTGGGCAGGAAATCAGTTTTCCAATCCTGCTTAAAACCCCAATGAAGTGGCTTAATTTAAAAGCAGGAGCAACAACCGTCAGGAAACCGTCTGTTGTTTTGCCCCTTAAATGTTGTAATGATTACGTTGGGAGTTACTGTTAGGGCGCGCTGTGGAGTCAATTACCCTAGTTAAACTTCCCGCCTTGTTTTCCCGCGTGGGCGGGAAATTCGACTTATCACAGGGGGGTCGTTCGCGAGGGCGGGAAACTTGTCTCATCGCAAGGGGGTCGTTCGCGCTGGTGGGAATTAAAACTCGTCGCATGGGGGACGCAAAAGTCGCAAACCGCCCAACAAACAGGGTCACCTTAATGAATTTCAGGCAAGTTCACCCTCGCTATCGAACAGGGCCAATGTCTCCTGTTTGACCGCAGAGAAATCCAGAGCGCACGCCAAGTGTGGCGTGTGGGGGTGCCTGTTTGTGGGATTCAGGGGTTTTGCCGAAACCCCTGGGCTTGGTGAGTGCGCGCTTGGTTTCATCAACTAGGGCGTATAAAATTGCAATGACCAAACCAGTTTTCCGACCATTTGTGCGGTTCTGGCGATTGCGAAGTATTTAGGGTTACGCCTATTTCAGTAGTCGCCCCAATTTGACCGAACTGCCCAGGTATTTCCCGTATAGAAATATACGCACCGCATCTTTGAACCTAAATAGACATATCCTCAGCGGGGGAAAAACAATTGTGCTTGCCTAAACACACTGCTTTGATGAACACCCTAGTTTAGGCTTCCGATCCCACTGTGCTCCATAACCAGTTCGAATGCATTATAAGGAATCATAACTTTTGTTTTTTAATAAGAGGGTGGTTTAGGGTGTTAGAAACTTAGGAGAATAGTTGGTGATTGGGTGGAGGGGTACAAGAACAACATCGAGAGAAATTGTGTACCCCCTACTGCTAACACCCATATAGCCTAAAAAACATAAGCATATATGTTTTGACACACCCCCACAGGCGAAATGGGGGATAGCTAGAGAAAGCAAAGCAAGCTCAGGGTGGATCACGAAGTCACCACACACTCTGAGCACAAGCAAATGGCCACAAGGCCAGTTCACATGCAGAGTTATATCATAGAGAACAAGTAGTACAGCGATCAAAACCTAGCAAGTGAGAGCATGCATATATATGTTTTTAGATCACAGTACATGCAAAGTCAAGAAGTGAGCAAGTGAGGCCAAGTAGGTACAAGGCCTAAAATAGTACAGAAACGCTGATGATCATAAGGCTGAAGTGCCTTGGTGAAGATATCAGCAGTGTTGGCCCGAGAGGCCACGTAAGCAATACGAAGCTGACCACGCTGCTGCAACTCTCGAGCAAGGAAGTAACGCAGAGCGATGTGCTTCGTTCTGTGCTCCAGTCTGTGCTCTTGACACAAGGCAATCATGGCCTTGTTGTCGACGTACAGAACTGGAGGAGAACGAGGCGGCTCTCCCAGGTCGGTCAGCAGGTAGGTGAGCCATCGTAACTCCTATGCAGCCATGGCCCCTGCGTAGATCTCAGCCTCACAGCTGGAGCTGAGAACAGAAGACGAGTGGGTAGACCGCCACGAAACAGAGCCGGAGCCAAGGCTGAAGGTGTAACCCTGTGACGACCGCTGCGTAGCCAAGTCGTCAACCCAAGAAGCCTCTGCGTGACCAGTGAGGACAACTCGAGCCCGTCCTCCAAGCACGAGCCCCATGCCCGACGTACTGCACAAGTAGCGCAACACCCTCTTAGCGGCCTTCCAGTGCTCTGGTCGGTGTCTCCCGGGCGCAACGTAGCATGCCAGGATGCTAAGAGGGTATGCTAGGTCAGGTCGAGTGCAGGTCATCAGGTACATGAGGCAGCCCACAAGCTCTGGATACGGGCCACTCGGCTTTACGGACTCGTCCGAAGGTGGAGCTGAGAGCGAGTGACCGGTAGGCAGAAAAGTGGACTCTGGCGAGGAGTACTGGAAGTCGACGCGCTGAAGGACCTGCTGCACCATGTGTGACTGAGTCAAGGTAATGGTGCACCGTGCTCTGTCCAGGGTTATCTGCAAGCCAAGATAGTTGCGCAGCTCACCCAGGTCTATGCTCGTGTGTCTCTTCTGCAGCTCCGACTTCACTAGGGCCAGTCCCTCAGTGTCAGTAGTGGCAAAGACCAAGTCGTCGATGTACACGAGGATGTAGAACGGCGGCAGCGAAGTGTCGGTGCGTAGAAACAGCGACGGGTCAGCAGTCGAAGGAGCAAACCCAAGAGCCGCAAGTGTCGTCCTCAGTGTATCATGCCACTCGCGAGGCGCCTAGCGGAGACCGTAGACTGGCCGCCGGAGGCTCCACTGGGTACCTGCAAGGAACGACCCAGTGAAGCCAGGTGGGCGGCGCAGCCAGATCTCCTCGTGCAGGCTGCCCTGTAAGAAAGCTGTGCTGAAGTCAAGAGAGTGAAGCTCGTAGTCATGCTGAGAAGCGACGTGCAGCAGTACCTGAAGAGTGGTCATCTTCGGGGTAGGGGAGAAGGTCTGGAAGAATTCAACTCCCTGTCGCTGACTGAAGCCTCGTGCCACGTAACGAGCCTTGAAGGAAGGCGGAGAACCCGGCGGCCGCTTCACCCTGAAAATCCACATGCCATCGACTATGTTCGCCCCAGGAGGGGGAACTGCGTCGAATTAAGTGCCTGTGGACTTTTAGGATGCCATCTCTACGTCTATGGCCGTCTGCCACTAAGAGGAGTAGGGACCCGAAATCGCCTCTGCGTAAGTGCGCGGGGTCGGGATGTCTGGTGCATCCGGGTCTCCCTCAGGTGCAATCACCATGGACACGAGATGAGGTACAGCAGCCGCAAAACATTCAAAGTCCTCCTGCCTATCCTCAAGGACGTCCGTGCCAAGAGCACACTCACCCCCGACGGACGGAGGACAGACAGACTCAGACTCGGCAACAAGACTAGCTGCGTAGTCTAGACGACAGGCGGCAGCAAAGTCAACAAGCTCAGCAACTAAGGCAGACGCAGCAGTGGACTCAAACGAAGGGTCAGTGACAACAGTGGCCAGAAGACGTGTGACAATAGGACTAGCAGCACAAAGTAAGTTAGACTCAGGGTCCGGTCCGTCGGCAAGAGAGGACGCAGGAGGAGACGGCAGGGGAACTCGCAGTGGAACAGAGGAAGGACGAAGTGCCATATGGTGCGTGCCAGGGACGGGAGGAGGACGCGGACGCGGAACACGACTACCAGTGCAAACAGGCGAGGCAGGGCGAGACGCAGGCTCACGACGCTCTATAAGGCCTCCGGTCTGCTCAGTGTAAGGAGCAGGAGCAGGCAGTGGGGAGGCTGGCTGTAACTGCAGCTGCGACTGGTCAGGCGGTGGACGCAGTAAGGGAGGAGTAAGGCCAGTAGAGGACGGGAGACCAAGAACCTGCTGAAGCAGTGGAACAAAGTACGGTCGCGGCCGCACAGTGCCTCTAGGACCAGGACCAACAGCACCAGCACCCCCAGGGCCAGCGCCTCCAACTCCGGGGTCTCCTGCTCCCGCTCCCGCAGCTCGAGCAGCTCCAGCACCTCCAGCACCTCCAGGACTAGCGACTCTAGCACCTCCAGCACCTCCAGTACGAGTACCTCCGGGACCAGCGGCTCCAGCACCTCCAGCTCCAGGGTCCCCAGCTCCAGCATCTGCAGTGCCACTAGCTCCAGCAGCTCCAGTACCTCCAGTACGAGCACCTCCGGGACTAGCAGCTCCAGCGCCTCCAGCTCCAGGGTCTCCAGTGGCAGGCCTCCCAGCTCCAGCAGCGCCACTCCGAATGCTCCAGCGCCGAGCAAACCACTCGCGCAGCTGCGGTGGAGAGAGAGGCTCCCGACGCGACGAGGCACCCGGGGGACTACCCACCCCAAGCCTCCCGATGATTCGAAACATCTTTTTCCCTTCCCACCCGCTCTCCTCACTGCACTGGAAGCTCATCCCCACGCTTCCCCTTCCTCCTTCCCGCACCTTCTCCCCCACAGCAAGCTCATTCTCCCCTCAATCGTCGCGCTCCCTCTCCTCATGGCCTACTCGGGCCACACCACCATCCTCATCCCCAGGCCATGTGGTTTTCCCTCCCTTTGACCCCCTTGTATCCCCCCCACAGCAAGCTCATCCTCCCCTCAATCCCAACCCCGCCGCTGCTTATGGCCTATTCAGGCCACACCACGATCGTCATTCCCAAGCTGCTGCGGCCACTCCCACCCACCCAAGCCTCATGCTTGTACCTCCCCGTTTCCCCTTCCCACCTGCAGCAAGCGCATTCTGCCCTCAATCGCAGCAGTGCCTCTCCTAATTGCCTATTCGGCCCACACCACCATCGTCATCCCCAAGCCACGTGCTTGCTTCCCCTCTCTTCTCGTCCCTCATCCCCCTGGCCCCTTTTGCAGGAAGCTCATTCTCCCCTCAATCGCAACGCTGCCTCTCCTGATGGTCTATTCAGGCCACACCACCATCGCCATCCAAAAGCCGCTGCGGCCGCTGCTGGCAGGGCTGGCAGGTGAGGAGGTCGCCGTGTGGGACCTGGGCGTGCAGTACAAGGTCTACATGGGCATGCTCGTCGTGTTCTGCTCTAATTCGATAAACATCCTGGCGGGAGTGAATGGGCTGGAAGCAAGGCAGACTGATGTGATTGCTGCCTCGGTAAGTAAGTGTAAGATTTTTGCAGAAAGAGCTTGCGTGTGGGACATGGGACATGGGACCTGGGGACCTGTTGTCAAAATGAAAGAGGAATGATTGGACTGACAGGATTGGGAGTACAAGTAGGAAAACCTAGAAAGTTGTACCCCCTAAGGCTAAACCCACTATAGCCTACAGAATAGAAACATATATAATGTTTGACACACCCCCATAGGCTAAGTGGGAGACAACCAGATGGTCACAAGACCAGTCAAAGCAAAGCAAAGCACAGCTCAGGGTTGATCTCAAGGATACCACACAAATTCCGAGCACAAGCAAGCGGTCACAAGACCAGATCACATGCACGTTGATAATACAACAAGAAATGCAGTGATCACAACCTAGCAAGTGTAAACATGCAGGTAGACATATATAAGGATCACAGTACAAGCAGAGTCAGGAAGTAAGCAAGTGAGGCACAGTAGGCACAAGGCCTAGAACAGTACAGAAGCGCTGATGATCACAAGGCTGAAGCGCCTTGGTGAACACATCAGCAGTGTTGGCCCGAGTGGCCACGTAAGCAAGACGAAGCTGACCACGCTGCTGCAACTCTCGAGCAAGGAAGTAGCGCAGAGCGATGTGCTTCGTTCTGTGCTCCAGTCTGTGCTCCTGACATAAGGCAATCATGGCCTTGTTGTCGACGTACAGCACTGGAGGAGAACAAGGCGGCTCTCCAAGGTCGGTCAGCAGGTAGGTGAGCCAGCGTAACTCCTGTGCAGCCATGGCCCCTGCGTAGATCTCAGCCTCACAACTGGAGCTGAGAACAGAAGACGAGCGGGTAGACCGCCAAGAAACAGAGCCGGAGCCAAGGCTGAAGGTGTAACCCTGTGACGACCGCTGCGTAGTCAAGTCGTCAGCCCAAGAAGCGTCTGCGTGACCAGTGAGGAAAACGTCGCCTCGCCCTCCAAGCACGAGCCCCATGCCCGACGTACTGCACAAGTAGCGCAACACCCTCTTAGCAGCATCCATGTGCTCCTTCCTGTGTCGGCCAGGAGCGACATAGCGTGCTAGAATGCTAAGAGGGTAGGCTAAGTCAGGTCGAGTGCAGGTCATCAGGTACATGAGGCAGCCCACAAGCTCTGGATACGGGCCACTCGGCTCTACGGACTCGTCCGAAGGTGGAGCTGAGAGCGAGTGACCGGTAGGCAGAGGAGTGGACTGTGGCGAGGAGTACGTGAAGCGGAAGCGCTGAAGGATCTGCTGCACCATGTGTGACTGAGTCAAGGTGATGGTGCGCTGTGCTCTGTCCCGGGTGATCCGCAAGCCAAGATAGCTTGTCAGCTCACCTAGGTCTGTGCACGTGTGTCTCTTCTGCAGTTCCGACTTCACGTGGGCGAGTGCCTTAGTGTCAGCAGTAGCAAAGACCAAGTCGTCTACGTACACGAGAACGTAGAACGGCGGCAGAGTGGTGTCGGTCCGTAGAAACAGCGACGGGTCAGCAGTAGAAGGAGCAAACCCAAGAGCAGCAAGAGTCGTCCTCAGTGTGTCGTGCCACTCACGCGGTGCCTGGCGGAGACCGTAGACTGGCCGCCGGAGGCTCCACTGGGTACCAGCAGGAAACAACCCAATGAAGCCAGGTGGGCGGCGCAGCCAGATCTCCTCGTGCAGGCTGCCCTGTAGGAAAGCAGTTCTGAAGTCAGGAGAGTGGAGCTCGTAGTCACGCTGAGCGGCAACGTGCAGCAGAACCCGAAGAGGGGTCATATTCGGGGTAGGGGAGAAGGTCTGGAAGAAGTCAACTCCCTCACGCTGACTGAAGCCTCGTGCAACGTAACGCGCCTTGAAGATAGGCGGAGAACCCGGCGGCCGCTTCACCCTGAAAATCCACATGCCACTGACGATGTTCGCCCCAGGCGGGGGATCCTCGTCGACGTAGGTGCCTGTGGACTTCCAGGAAGCCATCTCTGCGTCCATGGCTGACTGCCACTGAGAGGAGTAGGGACCCTCTATCGCCTCTGCGTAAGAGCGCAGGGTCGGGATGTCTGGTGCATCCGGGTCTCCCTCAGGGGCAATCAGCATGGACACGAGATGAGGTAAAGCAGTGGCAAAGCACTCAAACTCCTCCTGTCTGTCCTCAAGGACGTCCGTGCCAAGAGCACACTCACCCCCGACGGACGGAGGACAGACAGACTCAGACTCAGCAACAAGGCTAGCGGCGTAGTATAGACGACAGGCAGCAGCAAAGTCAACCAGCTCAGCGACTAGAGCAGACGCAGCAGTGGACTCAAAGGTAGGGTCAGTGACAACAGTGGCGAGGAAACGCGTGACAGTAGGACTGGCAGCACGAAGGGAGTCAGGCTCCGGGTCCGGACCATCAGGAAGAGAGGACGCAGGAGGAGACGGCAGAGGGACACGCTGTGGAGCAGTGGAAGGACGCAGAGTCATATAGTGAGTGCCAGGGACAGGAGGAGGACGCTCACGCGGAACACGACAACCAGCGCGGACAGCGCGGACAGGCGACTCTGGACGAGACTCAGGCGACAAAGGACGAGACTCAGGCTCACGACGCTTCGTAAGACCTCTAGTCGGCCCAGCGTAAGGAGAAGGACCAGGAAGCGGAGAGGCAAGCTGTAACTGGGACTGCGACTGGACAGGCGGTGGACTCAGTAGGGGAGGAGTAGGACCAGTAGAGGGCGGGAGGCCAAGAACCTGCTGAAGGAGCGGAACGTAGTACGGCCGCGGCCGCGCAGCACCTCCTGAACCAGCAGAGACAGCACCAGCACCCTCAGCCCCAGGGTCTCCAGCTACAACTCCCGCAGCACCACCAGCAGCTCCAGCAGCTCCAGCACCTCCAGCTCCAACCCCCGCAGCAGCTCCAGTCCCTGCAGCTCCAGGATCTCCAGTACGAGCACCTCCAGGACCAGCGGCTCCAGCAGCTCCAGCACCAGCAGCACCTCGAGCAGCTCCAGCACCAGCAGCACCTCCAGGAGCACAACCAGCAGCTCCAGCACCAGCAGCACCTCCAGCAGCTCCAGCACCAGTAGCACCTCCAGTAGCTCCAGCACCAGCAGCACCTCCAGTAGCACCAGCACCAGCAGCACCTCCAGCAGCTCCAGCACCAGCAGCACCTCCAGCAGCACCAGCACCAGCAGCACCTCCAGCAGCTCCAGCACCAGCAGCACCTCCAGCAGCACCAGCTCCAGCTCCTGCAGAACCCCCAGTCCCAGCAGCTCCAGTACCGCCTGTACGAGCACCTCCAGGACCAGAGGGTCCAGCACCTCCAGCAGCACCAGGGCCTCCAGCGGGCGGCACCTCAGCGCTAGGAGCGCCGCTCCGGAGGCTGCAGCGCCGCGCGTACCACTCACGCAGCCGCTGTGGGGAGGGAGGCTCCGGATGCGACACAGTACCCGCAGCACCACCAGCTCCAACTCCGGCAGAACCCCCAGCGCCAGCAGCCCCACGCCGGAGGCTGCAACGCTGAGAGTACCACTCACGCAGCTGCTGTGAAGAGGGAGCGCCACCAGGCGCAGCACGGTCAGTCTTAGAACCCCCAGTCTCAGTTCCCCCAGGCTCAGCACCCCCAGTCTCAGCACCCCCAGGCTCAGCACCCCCAGTCTCAGCACCCCCAGGCTCAGCACCCCCAGCCTCAGCACCCCCAGGCTCAGCACCCCCAGTCTCAGCACCCCCAGACTCAGTACCCCTCGCAGGACCAGAGTCGACAGCTACCTCGACAGGCTCGACTGGGTCGACCTGGAAAACACCGGAGGGAGCAGGACCCTGGGGAGCAGAGCTTGCCACCAAGTTCGTAGAGAACGAGGGGAGGTAAAGACCCGACAGGGTGCCGGACGGGACCGCAGGACAAGGGAGGACAGTGGAGGAGGTCGCAAGGACCGGGCCCCCAGAGGGGTCAGCCAGGGAGACAGCAACAGGCCGAGCTAGCTGCTCAAGGACAGTGCGGTCACGAAAGAAGCAGCGGGAAGCACCCGAGTCCAGTGTGAAGGTGTGCAGTGCCTCAGTAGACGCAGTACCAGCAGGCGCAGACGCACGAGCACCTGGAACAGCAGACTCACTAGCACCTAGAGCAGCAGCCTCACCAGGACCTAGGGCAGCAGACGCACTAGCACCTAGAGCGGCAGCCTCACTGGTCCCAATACCCAGGTCAGGCGGTGCACACAGGTAACAGTCACCCTCAACACTAACAGTCAATGCATACATGGCACCAAGGATAGCATCAAAATCAAGAGCAAAGATATCAATGTTCTTTTTCATCAGATCAGCCCAGCGGGGCAGCTCAGTGGCGTCAGGAAAACTGCGCGCGCCAGGCGTCGTCGAGACGAAAGAAGCAGCGCTGTGCCGTGTGGAACCTCCCACACGTCTGGCCAGTGCGGTCACCTGTGCGGATAACGTACGGGCAGGTACCTCCACCCCTAGACCCCCCACGCTGAGAGTACCACTCACGAAGCTGCTGGGGCGACGGGGTCTCGCTGGGACGCTGATGCTGCTGCCTCTGGCCACCACCGAACCCCCCGCGCTGCACCGCTCCACCGCGCCCGCCACCAGCTCCACTGCCGCCACCACTAAAGATGCAGCGCTGTGCCGTGTGGAACCTCCCACAGGTCTGGCCAGTGCGGTCACCTGTGCGGATAACGTACGGGCAGGTACCTCCACCCCTAGACCCCCCACGCTGAGAGTACCACTCACGAAGCTGCTGGGGCGACGGGGTCTCGCTGGGACGCTGCTGCTGCTGCCTCTGGCCACCACCGAACCCCCCGCGCTGCACCGCTCCACCGCGCCCGCCACCAGCTCCACTGCCGC